TTAAGAGTTGTTTTTTAAAGTTTAGAACAATTATTTATTTTCCACAACTAGCATGCCTGTGAAACGAGAGGAAGAGATGAGGAAAGGAGGAGTGTGTGTTTGTGTGGACGCTTTGCCATGATGTTGCCTCATTCAAAGCCAACGTATGAACAAATCTCAGTGTATAAGAAATGAGAGCTCTAAAACAACTCAAGCGGAGCTGTTTGGTTGTGCCATGGATGATGCAGAATCACCCATGCTGTCACTATAAACAGAAAGCGTTGCACAGACTGACACAGGTCCTGTCTCTCTGCATGAGTGTGGTGTGATTTCAAAAGCTTTTCCTCCCTCTTTCCCCACTGTTTACATCCATGCCTCCATCCCTGCTGCTGCTAGTCCTCTTTCCCTCTTCTTTTCTTTTTCGCCTTCGCCACGGCTCCTTTTGCTACACCATCCAGCTGCAGGGTGCATGCAATCCATTCAACACACAAAGATATTCGATAACAACAACAGCTGTGCCCTACCTTCCACAGATGCCAGGAAGACAGCAGTGAGACAGAGAACAGTCAACATCTGCAGGATGAACATGATGGCACTGGCAGGGAAGAGAAGATGATCTACTCTGTCACCTCTCCCTCTCTATGGCTGCCTCTCGTAGATTACTCCCCTCCTCTTTATACCTCCCTGCCAATCTCTCACTCACTTCCACCACCTCTCGTTTTCTGTCCTACCGTCCTCCCCTCCCACCCTCTGTTTATCCATCCTCAGTCATTCTCACGCTCAACTCTCTTCTTCTTCTTCCTCGTTCTTCTTGCACATTCATCCCACCTCTCCCTAGTTTCTCCCTGCTTGTTTTCTCGCTAAGGATGCCAAGCTCCATTTGTTTTGTTGCAGGCTTTAAATTCCTCTTTCCTCCTCCAGTGCATTTTCTCCTCTCAGGACAGAGAGCCAAACGGTGAAAAGGGGAAATTCCAACCTGAAGGCATCCACATAAAATCCAATGATCAGTTTAGGAATTTAAGAATAAGTTTTTTTTTCCATCAACGGTGAGTGGTGGCGCAGAGGTTAGAGAAGGTGGGCCTGTTATTGGAAGATCGCAAGCTGATTCAACTCCTGGTAATGACAACATCAAAATGAGGGTAGGATAGGTGAATCACCCACACCTGCCTCCACCCTCATTTGCCCAACTCTGGGCCCTTGAGCAAGGCCCTTAACCACCCACCATCTGCTCCCCTGGGCACTCTGGATGGCAGCTCTCTGCTCCACACAGTATAAAAATAATTGCCAAGTCTTCGTGCGACTTAGTTCGCTAGTTCCCTGAAGAAGAGAGCAGCTGAAAGAAGAATATATA